GTTATGTCAACTCATTTCAAATTTCAAGTAAGTCAGTGCGAAGTAAGCTTTCATAACCACTAGGTAATGAAAACCTGCTTAAATTTATAAGTATCTCATGGGATAGTTGACAGTATGAGTGTAGTATGGTTAAAAAACCTGATTTGACAATGGCAGAAGCATATTCCCAACATTGAATTAACGTCATGATTGTCAGTACTAATAATCTTTTATGTGCTGTGTTCCTCCAGGACTTTGGCAGTCATGGCTCTCCACAATTTCCTATCCTTTGTAGCTCTTAATAAATTTTGTCTTTTTGTTATCTCTTCTAAATCTTGTTCAACCATCCATTTACTCAAAATCACTAGGTGGGTTATGCATGGTTTTCCTCTGTCCTGTGAGTATCAAATTTTCTATGCCCTCTTTCCTCATTATGTGCCCTAGAAATTTCAACTGTCTCTTCCTGATGTTAATTATAATTGTTCTTTTTGTTTCCATTTTCTCTAAAACTTCATTGTTACTCACATGTTTGGTCCATGGTAGCCTCAGCATCCTTCTGTAGAGCCAGATTTCTGTTGCATCATGTCTCTTCATCTGTCAAGAGATATTCTAAGACTGATAATACAATAACAGTTCAGTACTCTTTTCTTTGTTTCTAACAAAATTTTCCTATTTAATACTTTGCTTAACTTTTGGTAGACATTGTTCACTATTTCAATACACCTTTGAATTTCAGTGTCACACCTTCTATCCTTTGTTAAAACACTTCCCAGATACAGTGTAACCCGGATATAAGAGAGATCCTTTCTGGTCCCAAATTAGAGCCTGTGTTAATGTATATAAAATAGACCAAACCTGGATATAAGAGAAACCCGGATATAAGAGATTTCTTCTCCGGTCCCAACAACTCTCTTATATCCGGGTTACACTGTATTTAAATTTTTGTACTTGTTTGATTTTGATATCTCCAATTTGTAATGCACATGTTTGGCTGTTCCTTTTGCTAACAGCCATGCATTCCATCTTGCAATTGACATTTAGTCCTTTCTTCTTGCTTTCCTTCACTACCTTCTGTAGGAATTCTTGTTGTTTCCTTTGTGTGTCTGCTATTTAACACTGTGTCATCTGCATATCTTAAGTTGTTAAGATTGTGACTGCATTTTCAAGGCAATCTTCATTTTTTTTTTTTTAATTGATAGCTGTGCAGGGTTGCCTAGGATGAGGCTTGTCACACATATTACTGTTGTCACTGCCTAACTATGCTCACATCTATTGTTTGGTTTCTTTAAACATTCATCAATGTTGAATGTCAATGGGTGAAATTTTTTTTTCAGCCTGAAGGAATTCAATGACATACTTTTGCTTCATATAGATTTTCATATCAGACACTGTTTTTCCAGACTGCTGCAAGGATACTATTTGTAATAAAGTAAAAAAAGAAAATTATAGATTATTAGCAGGAAGATTCAACATCTGTCTCCATGCCACCAACATCCACTTCTGATGTTGTAGGCAAACAATAAAATGAGAACCATTATTTAAAACTTTTTTTTTTCTAGAAATTATTGAGCTAATTTGAATTGAGTGAAAAGAACTGGTTGCAGCATCCTTGATGTAACTAGGCAACCAACCAGGGCGACCTTACTGCACATGCATAAACACTCTCCCATGAGGTTACTCGTTCAGTCATGTGATGTCATTGAGTGAGTTTGTAGAACATGTGACGCTTGTATTCACTGAATATACATAAAATCTTGTTTGAAACTTGGACATTTGTTTGCAGGAACTGTATGAATGATTTAATGATTATTCAATAAGTGAAGCCTAGATAAAATTTTGGTACAAATGCATCAAACTTGATAGGGAAATATTGAAAATATTTACATTCTGGAAGACCTTCAACAAGCAGTATACATGAAAATGTTCAGTGCAGGCTGCAGTCAATGGAAATTAGTGATTGACCTTGAAAGAATTATAGCTGAGGATCTAACCATTTTGACTCTATTCCACACATTTCATGCAGAGTCTTTTATCAAAATCTTGCAATACCAAGATCTGTCAGCCCCACTATGTTCCAAATTTGGTTCCCTGGGGCTTCTTTTTTTTTTTTTTTTAATTACTGTGGAAAGGGATGAGATTAAGGTGAATGGGACAAAGCAGATGATTGTATAATCCTCTTTCAGGATTGCTATCTGTTTGGAAAGTGGAAGACAGTGGAATAAGTGTGTGATATTCCAAAGGGAACTATAGCATTATTGCCCTTGGTAAGCTTTTTTTTTTCTTTTTAAAGTATTAAATAGCAGGATCATTTTGGAAGAGGCTTTGTTAATGTTATTCAATGTTATTTCAGTTATTGCTATGTTTTAAAGATTTTTATTTTCATTTCATATCTCTTCTCAGTATTTGTCTTTATCTTTTGTTAAAAACAACAATTATGAAGGCAATAATAAATGCTTTTTATCTCAGAATTCGAGAAAATAATTGCTTTTCAATGTTACATTGGATTTTGGTCTGTGAGGCTTTGTAAGAATCTATGAATGTTTAGGAAAATAAGTTTGATTTCTTTACGATAGTAGGATTGTCTTTTCTTCAGCCCTTCAGTCTTCCAAGGACAATTGAAAAAAGTATTTGAATATTTTGTGTAGAAATAAATGGTCTTCTAGAATCTGTTTGAAGATTGTTTAGCAGAATCAATAAATTCTATTTGGCATTTATATTGGCATTTTTTTTTTTTTTTTTGTTACTGATTAATTTTGTTTTTAAATAGTTGAACCCAATCATATGAAGTAGTGTTAGTTCTTCATGGTCATAGTAAATAGTAACATTGATTCTTGTCTGTTTCACCTCCAAGGTTAAAACACCAGTGTGATTGGTTAATATTGATCTGAGAATATAAAGTTCTAAACAAAAAAGAAATAATTACATCCCATGGCACCAGGTCTGCCAACCATAAATTTTGTAATTTTTACACACATTTAGGTTACCTTTACAGCTATTCTGTCAATTTTATTTGTGAATATTCCTATTTTTGTTTCAAAAAGTATGAAAATGAAATTCCTTTGAGTTTATTTTCTTTGTCTGCAAAATAAACTTCTACTTAAAAATATTTTGTTACATGTCAACTCTAATGATATTTATTTACACTATTTACATGCTAACGATTGTCTTCATCTTTGTTGTTTATCACATTGTTTTACCTGTTGTGCCCCTTTGACCTTCCTCAGGTGTATGTCAGTCTGGGTATCCTACAGGGAATTCTGAACTGAACTCTTTATTTAATCTACATGGGTAGACTATACTCATCCTACTGCCCATATTTAAGGATATTTCAACTAGAGAGTACCCCCCTTTTCCCGCCAAAAAAAAAAAAAAAAATTTGGTAGATTTTTATCTGATTGTTGCAATTTTTGTTACAGTTATTTGAAAGAAAAGCAAAAGATAAAAATTTAGTAGCTTAAAACAGAATGAAAACATAAATGTTAGATGTGCAGTTCAAACTAAAGAAAGAACTTTGGTAAATTTTCTTAAAGAGAACAATCACCTCACATTTAAAATTTGATAACTGTGGCATCCTGGAACAACAAATGATTATAGAATTTGATATGTTAGTGAATTTCTTTCAGTTCATTCGTATAGTAAAATATATAGTTAATTTTTTTTTTTTCATCATATAGTAAATCTAAAATTTCCTGTTTTTTTTTTTTTTTGTTTTTAGTACCACTTAGTTATTGCTTACTACACTGCCATGACCCAGCACTTTAATCCACTAGGCTATTGTCCTGTGTAAACATTGTGATAACAGCAGCAAAGATGAAGACAATAGTCCGCATGTAAATAGTGTGAATAATAATAACTCCTCATCCTAGAAATTTAGACAATAACTAATGACACTTTTTTTATTCAACTTTAGTGCTTTGTTTTCAAATTTTGTTTTTGTTTTTACATTAAAGTTTACCCTTTACAAGGCCTGTGAACCACTTGAGGTAGAGGGTTATAGTAGGAGGCCATTTGTGTGTATAGGAGTTGGAGATAACGGTTAATCCAAGCCATGAACAGGTTAAAATTGTAGTGATCGGAGAAACATCCTGTTGGGAGTCGGTTCCACAGGGTAGTGGTTTGCAGGAAAAAACTACTTGAGTGGAATGTTACTCTATTTACCAATGGAATATAGAAGGAATGTGGGTGGTTTACTATTATTCACTAATGATTTAACAATATAAACTAATATATATAAAGTGGAAACAGTATTTTTGTACAAATTGACAGTTTTTTCAATATGAAATGGTTACTCAAATGAACTGTACATATTTACAGATGACCAATGATCTTTTTTGGCTCTGAGTATTGTGCCTTATTTTGGTTTGCTGTCTTTGATCATTCTAAATAACAAATTAAATTAAAATGATCATTTACAAGCAAAATATTTTAGTAACCCTTTATTATAACAAACATTAATGTGATATAATAAGCTAAACTGTATTTTTCAGCCATTGACAGACTATAATTACTTGGCATAGAAATGGTCTATATATTGACCAAGGCAGTATCTATACTGCCAAAAATGTCTTCAGCAAAATGACACAGAATGAAACAGGTTAAAATTTTATGAAATATTTACCCCCTAAAAATAGAAAAGTCTTTGCCTTTCATTAACAACAGAGTATGAATCCAAATGTTTATGTTTCTGAACAAAGTAAAGGACTTTTTAATGACTGGCTGAAGGGTATTTTTTTTTTTTTTTAAGGCACTAGTAAACTGTTGCTATTACTATATATTTCTTCTATCCAATTGTCTATTTCATAACCTAAACTCAGTATATCATTAATTAAAAATGATTCTGAGAAACATGCTCATATTTAATCAAAATATTAAGGCAAAAATGATGAAATGTGAATACTCTATAAAAAGAACAGCTAGTGTTTAAATATAACCTCTGTTTGTAATTTTTTGTTGGGTTTGAATGTATTTGCAAATTATTGAAATCATTTACAAATATTTGAAGACACATTATCATTTAGACTTACAGCCATATCACTTTGAAACACTGGTTCTTGTATGAACATCAAAGTTAAGCAATGTTAAGCCTGGTCAGTACCTAGGTTGTTGACTGATTGGGAATACCAGGTGCTGTATGTTTGGATGTGCAGGTGATGTAATGTATAATAGCTTGGAATGGGAAATCACAGAGTTCAATTCCAAATCCAATCAGATTTATTATATTCACTTATGCACAGATATTATTGGAGAAAGGTATGAATCTACCTCTTCTCCCCTCCAGCTATGGATTAATTAGTAGGACTTATATCAGTAAATCATCATTATATCCAAAAAAATTTTACAATTTAATTTCTGGATCTAATTTAATACCTGCAAAAGGCTGATAAGCCATAAGAAAGAATCAATCAAACATTATCATTTACATTACATTTGTATGTTTTCCATAATGGAAAGACTGATAGCCATATTGAAAAGGACACTTTTTATGCTATCAGTAGAATACACTCGATATTTTTTTTATAAACTGTGCTATATGATTTTCTTTTTTTGTAATTAGTTTTTATAATTTCATAAATCTACCTGTTACTTCTTTATGGCAGTTGGCGTGAGGGTTGTAAATGAAGTAATTTTTACTTGAATGCAAATGACATTGAACACTACAATGAAAATTTGAATTTAATATTTCATTTTCAGAACTTTTATATCTATTTTTATATTGTGTATTTGGTATTGTTTTATAAACAATTGTTTGAGACAAACTTAGCTTGCTTTTTAGTGTAAATAAATTTGATTTAAAAATAACAGTTGTCATTTTTTCTGCATTCATGAAAAGATAGTGAATGCCAAATTTTGGGAAACAATTTGGTGTTGACAGTTTTAAAGCAAAAATTGCAAATTGGAATTTGTCAAAAAATGTTTCCTTTCAAAGAAATCTTGGAATTATATTTTTTTGTGTCTTTTCATGTAGCATTGTCTTTTAAATCTTTTTTGACTTCAAGAGATATTTTTTTCTTTTAATGGTGTGTGTGTGTGTGTGTCTCACCCACCAGACAGCTCAAAACCTGTTTTAAAGAATTATGGCAATCTTGATGTAATTAGGTTCTGGTCTTGGAGGTCAGGGATACAGACAAAAGATCCACCTGGAAAAATCTCTTCAGTTAAAAGGGCAAAGTAGAACAAAATTTTCTTGTTTAATTGAAACACGGCAAAGATTCAAATCATTTGTAACAGTATTACATTATTTTTACTTTCCTTTTTCTTGCTTAAGAAAATGTGTTTATCTGAACTTGTATGCTAATACATTTTTTAGTGTTAACTTCTTGAAATTTTTTAATTCAAGATTCTCAATTTGTTTTATTGAAATTTATTTTATTCTAATTACTTTTTGGTAGCAAAAAAGAAAAGAATTTGTAAGAAAAAAAGATAAATTTATAGAAATAAAATCTCAAATATGAATGTGGCTTTTCTCTCCATTATTTATTTACAGAAAATATGGACAGGGAAAATATTTAATTCTGCATTAATGCTGTCAATTGTTTTTCTTAAAAGACAAAATCTAAGTAGCAAGGGATAAATCTGTACCAGGTAGAAAACCTTTTGTAATTTTGTTTGTTGCTTCATTATCATGACAGTTACACCCTCATAAATAATGGACTATTCTGTTTTGATCAAATGGAAAGACGGATAAGACATATCAGAGGCACTACTTGGTTTCACTGAAAAAAAAAAAAAAGAAGGGAAGGTAGAAGTATTTAATGTCCTTGGCTAATACCACATAAATAATGGACTATTCCTTTTTGATTGCTGTGGAAAACTGGAAAAGACATATCAGAGATGCTATTTAGTTTCAGTGAGAAAATGAAAGAAAGAAGGTTTGGTTTGGTTTATTTTGTTTTACAGCATATCAACACCTCAATGGGTTATTTAATGCTGACAACATTTTTAGGATAGATTTGTATGAATAGAATATGTACCTTTTGGTTTAGATTGGTTTGGTTTATTTTGTTTTATGGCATATCAACCTCAATGGGTTATTTAATGCCAACAAAATTTTTTATTGCTGGTAATATTTTGTTTTGTCAAAAATCTGTTTCTAGTATTATATATTTCCTTGAAAATTGTATTGCTGGTAATAATTTGTTTCAAAAAAGTATTGCTGGTAATAGTTAACTATTTGCTTATAGCTGGGACCCTAACAGGTGCTACCACCAAGGGTCAGGGTGGACCTGGGAACACCAGCAATTAAGAGGTGGTTCCACGCTCCTCAGAACCTCCTGATTGGAGACCTTGCTGCTGGACGTAGTTTAACATCTTACCCAGGACGGGAAAGAAAGAATGGAAGGTAGAAGTGTTTAATGGCCATTTCAGTGAAATGGAAAAAGTTGTTCATTTAAAATCTTTTCATCTGTACACTCTTATGACCAGCATTCATATTTATGATTGTTATTGTAATATTTGGTTAAAGTTGTTAAATTCAAATATTTAATGAGGTGATGGGGAATTTCTATGGATATTTTATCACCATGAGCTTATTCAAGAATTAAGATTGAACAGAAAATTCAAATAAGAAAACTGAAATTTTCATGAATACTTTTAGTTTCACTATAATGTAAAAAAGATATAGTAATAAACCTAAAAAGATTATTTTGTGTTTTAAAACACATTTAGGATTTAAAGAGAAGTATTTATTGGAGATCTCATGAAGGCATTAATATAAAATTAAAAAAATATTTAAAAAAAAAATATTTGAAGTTGAAAAGATTAATGAATATAATATTTTACATCTTAGAGAATTAATAAATAAACCACAATTAATAGAACAACTAAAAATTTTGTGTTGAAAAATTCTGTATATTATTCTTTCTCTAGTTTTTTGTCTTACATCCAGGATGGAAAAGTACCTACTGAAAGGAAACCATAATGTGCAGTTTTCATTCTTTAAGAGAATTTCAGGGATAAGGAGTTGTCATTATTTACACTATTTATATTTGTACTATTATTCTCAGCTTTGTTGTTGTTATCGTTTCAGCTGTTGTACCCTTTGGCCTTCTTCAGGTGTATATTGATCTGGGTAACTCACAGGGAATTCTGAACTGAACCCTTTATTTAATCTATAGGGATAGGCTGTTCTTGTTACACTTCTCAAGTCTGGGGATATTGTCTAGCTCTTAGTTTTATTTAGTATTGCTCAGTTATTGCTTGCTCTTTTCCACTGCCCAAATTGGGGATTGAACTCACAATCACTATGTTACCAAATTTCAGAAACCAATGCTTTAACTACTTGGCCAATATCAATGTGTTTTTTAAATTTAAAAAAAAAATAATATGGAATCCCTGTATACTTTTGATTTGTTTGTTTTTATGGGTCTTCTTATTGGTCATTTAATGCTGAAAATTTAATTTTCTTGGGAGTTTTAAATTAATGATGTATGTTATTCTGCTTTCACAATTGAATACATGGTAATTGATACTTATCTTTTATACATATACATATAATTACAAGATGCAGTGATATGTGTGTTTTATGTTGTAGTTTTGTTGAAGCTATATTTTGGAATATAATTTGATTTCTTTAAGAAATTTAGGATATTATATGGATTAATGTATTATTGGTGATTTTTTTTTTATATAAAAATATATTGCTGGTATTTTTAATATGACAATGTATTTTCATACTTTCATAGGGTTTTGTTTTTTGTTTAGAGGGTTCACCATTTCCAATAGCTGGAACCCTAACAGGTGCTACCACTCTGGGTCAAGGTCAACCTGGAAAGAACAGCAATTAAGAGGTGGTTTCATGCCCCTCAAAATCTCCAGAGGCTTTGCTGCCAGATGTAGTTTACTGTCATACCCAGGATTTGTATACTTTTGAAAAGAGGGATAATTTGTAGAAATGTTTTGCATTGTTTTTAAGAAGATAGAGCTTTGGTTTGATATTTTAATTCTCCAAACCGTATTTCTTATCTTTGAATCAACAACGAAAATGCAAATATATTCACAAATTCAAACGGACTGATGCACACTGAGGAGTAGGAGTGTGACAACATATGGGTGTACCAGTGACTAGAAGTTGGTTAGAAATAGGTTAAGTATCATGTTACAATGTGTAAACATCATTTCATAGCCACATAGAATTAATCATACTACTAGACATGTGAGTACTAGTAATATCAAAAAATCATATGCATATCTGATTAAAAGATTTTAATTATCAAAATATTATTTTGAAGACAATGAGGAACAGGAAGATAATTTCAAAAACCACATTTTGTTTTTGTTTTATACTGTTTTCATATTCCATATTTTATGACTCAGACTGAAAACAAATCTTTGACAGAATAAGGAAGAAAAAAACAAACATTACCTGAATTAGGTACAAAGTAATTATCTGAAAAACTAATTAAGATGCCAATAATAAGGAATGGTGCCAGCTGAAAGAATTATTTCTTTTTTAAAAGCATCTTTTTATCTTTCTTGTTTTCTTTCAAAATGACTTCTTCAATTCAACATTCAATCAAACCCAAGATCCCAATTTACACACACTGAAAATATTTTTATATTAGTGGTTATCAAATATATTTTCATTTTTTCTAATTCAAAGTTTATTTAATGTACATAATGACTACCTATAGTTCCACTATATTGGGTTTATTTGGGTGGATAGATATTTTTTTCCTAACATTTCAGACATGATTTCAACATGCACCTACTGCAACAGGATAATAAAAAATGACATTTATTATCAACAAAATGTTTTAACTTGCTGGGATTCATTCGATTGTCAAACGAAATTGAGAAAGGTGTCGATTCACAGGTGTTGTTTGTTTCTGGTTTGTTTAGAAGATAATTCAGTTTTATAAACTGAGATAAGATAACTTTTGTCGGTACCTCAAATATTATGACAAAATCAGTGTTAGTATTGTGACAAACCTTCACAAACAACTACAGAAGGATAACCGTATACGTCTCTAAATTTCATCTTTTCTTCTCTTACTTCCTTGTTATCGACGACACAGTTTTGCTTAGATCCAGTTGACTCCTCTGCTTATATGACAAACCACATTTCGAAAATAGCTCTAAAATTTGATACTATTGGATTGCAAAATATCTCACTTCAAACCCTATCTGCTTGGAAA